GAGAAAACAAATGTTCATAGCATCAGCATGAGATGAAGATGCATACAAATTCTAATCACAAAAACTATAAAGCGGAGGCCAGCTGCAGTTTTTCCAGCTGAAAATTTCGAAGGTTATATAATCTGTTAAATTACTTCCGACCAGCCAAGACATTTGTCATTTACTGTCACTTCGTATTATTTCCTGCAGCTACTGCGTGTGTGTATAGTAGCATATCTACTTGCACATTAAACTAATATTGGAATTTTTATTTAATTTTTCAACTCAAATACCTAACATAATTCCCAAATTGCGAAGATATTTCGAATATTTTTCAAATAATTGGGTCAATAGGACATTTTTTTACGTTAACTTTGTGTTTTGACGAAGTAAATACTTGGCAAAAATATCGGTACATTTATTTATAAATAGTTGATTGTTCTCACTATAAAATCAATAAAATTGTATACTCAACCTAATAGAAGCACCATCTTAACATTGTTTAACTATCGAACTAATTGGTTATTTCTCGAGCTCATTGTGTCGCTGAAGTGATACCCATGTGGTTTGAGAATGACTATGTTCTCAACATCACAATATTATCTAGGATTCGGATAGCTGATAAAACACTGGTCAAATCCATGGCGAACAATCCGGTCGATGCTGAAAGCTGGTGGACTGTGGTAGTATTTCTATTAAATTCAAATATGAAAATGATTAGCGCATTTTTCACATGTTTGCTCAAGTTAGTGCTTAACATGTGATAATGGACATGAGCTGGAGCAAGCAACTGAAATTTTCGGTTAATGCTCACTAAGTTATTAATAATAGATGCATGGTTTGATACGATACAACAGGAGCTTAAAGTTAACTCAATTTGCGTGTCACAAAACAAATTACAAATTATTGTACTTCACTTCGCAGTTCGGTCCTTTTTAGTATTAATTGATCATTGCATTCCACTCACATGTCATGTCTTTTAATGCTTTCACGAGAATCGAAGGTAAATGGCTCTCAGAATACTTGATGTCAGAGCTAGTAAACATTTCGGTAAAAGTACATTATGCACTTATGTTGAACATAATTTCAGCAAAAAAATATACATATATAAACCCCGTCGTGCATGTAATAAATACTTTCTCTGTCCAGTTGTGTCCAAAAATTATGGCACTCTAAGGCTTTTTTATGAGCAGCTTATTTAAAGCATTTATTTTTGACGCCAAACCTCAGCTCTTATATCAGTATTGTATCAGCTTGTTTTTTAAACTGAAAATTTCTTTACCTTCAATTGTATTTTTATTATTTAATAAATTTTTGTATTCCTTGAAATTAGAAAGAGTTGATGATACCAAAGTAAATAATTTTGTGCTTGTATCATAGTATATATTTAAATGATAGCAATCATTGATTGACAACTCTTGATTGATTGACATATATAGGCATTGATTGACAATGATGTTTTCAGCCTAATATCTCTAGGCTGCCTATACAAATAAAACACATTTTAGTGTAGTTTTTTTTATATATGACGTTCCTATGGGATTACATAGTTGCCTGTCCCAAATTTAGTAAGATGTTATAGGATGGGAACAGCCCTGGGCTTGCTAATTAAACATGCATTTGCATGCAGCAGACTGTACGTAGACACCTAATTTCGCTGAGGTGACACTGACTGTTTTCACTACTATTCATTCATTAGCCCGTATCGATGGTAAACGTGCTAGTATCTGCTAAAGATTAATATATAGATATATGTATTTCTGCATTGTAAACGGAAAAATATCGTTTCGTTCGCGAGGAGCAGGAATATATATAGGTAAAACAATAGTCCGTCATCGCATTGCAAATTATTTGAAAAATGTAATAACGATTTTTCAATCTTACTAAAAACTTAAGTCCCAGAAAGTCCAAAATTTCACACTATCTTAAAACCTTCTACTTGATGGTTGCCGTCCATCAGCACCAGCGGTATGTGGAGGAAGCTATATGTATTTCGACTATAGAATGAAGTGCGTACCTATTCTCGCAAACTGGTGTATTTTCAGCAGCTACTTGATTACCTATGTCAACAGATCAGTTCTCAAATATCCAAGAGACAAGTCAAGAATATTACAACAATCTGAGGCAGGTCGAAATTGGCCTATTCCTCAACGTAGATACTACTATGCTATACCAAGTGTGTCCTGCAAATGCTATCAAATCGACTCGCATGGGGATTTTTCAGGTTCAAAAAAGAAAATTCAACTTTTTCTCTAACACAGTCGCTCGTGATTGCATCTGTTAATCCAGCCACATAACTTTGCTGGCCCATGTATCTTGAATACCTAGCGTTTTATTACATATTTTAAATAAAATTTATAATGACAACAACTGAAACGTTGAACAGGCAATCTGCATTATCGTTTCAATCTGCTTTATCTTCCCATAGGCTGCTTTAAACAGCCAATTCTTGAGGACAATGGATCCTCGACTCAAAATTACATTGAAGAAATGAGACTATAGTCAATTAATAACATAACATAACATAGCGATGTCGGCGCTGAAGAGTAGGCCTGATGTGGCCTGTCGCCGATTCTTGTACTTTTCGTAACTTGTCCACAGAAGATAAAAAAGCATGTCCTTTGCCCGGATTTTTAATTAACACGTTTTTATTTACTCAGCTGGTGAATTTATTGAGTCTACAGCTGATACAAGAGGTGCCTGAGAAGGAGAAATTTGAAAGTTACGCGGAGTTGGTCGCGTTTGTTTGTTTGTTGTTGACATTGACAACAAAAATTAGCCCCTTTCTGATTGCTCTAGAGATCTGAAATTCGGCATGCAGGCTATTTTCGCCTAAAAATTTCAGATACAATCATAAAAACTAGCAATTAGAGACCTAAATTAGCTTAATTGAGTAAGGTATATATATAGTATATATATATATATATAAATTTTACTGCTGTGCAGTCTGACGACTTCATTGTCCTCAACTGGTACGGTAAATTATTTTTCGGTTATTCTTGCCTCATTTTTAGTTACCTGTTTCACTGTATAACTTTACAAATAAAGCATATTTGATGCATGAAATCAACTTGTTATGAAGCGGGAACAATTTAACAAGAGTATGCTGGGGCGTGCATGAATACGGGGTCATCAATATTTAGCGTTACATTGTTTTTTCAAAATCAATACACTCACAAAACAGTCAAATGTGTCGTATGGAACTATGTCGACTGTTCTCCGGAAGGACATAAAGTTGTCCCCATTCAAGTATGTCAAAAAACACCAACTGTCTGCTCAAGTTGTTGACAAACGCCTCCAAAGATCCAAGATTCTTCTTTCCCGCATTCATAATGGCACGCTGCCAAACCTCGTTTTCAGTGATGAGAAGATATTCAATGTTGAACACCACTTCAACTGCCAAAATGATCGAATTTGGTCAAAGAATTGGACGAAGGATCCCGTGTGGCGACTAGGAAGCAATGCCTGACCTCAGTGATGGTCTGGTAGCCGTAACAGTCCTCAAGTAGTCCCCTCTTTTTTGTTGACAAATTGGGGTGAAATTGAATCAGAAGAACTTTCGAGATGCCATCCTTGTTGGTGCATTGTTGCCCTGGGCACGAAAGCACTTCAAAAAACCTCCCTGGTCGTTCCAGCAGAACTCTGCACCATCCTATGGGGCCAAATCGATTCAGGAGTGGCTGTCCGAGAATGTTCCCCACTTCATTACCAAAGATTATTGATATTATTAGCCAGCAGATCCTACAAATTTACATATCATAAAAAACAGTGAGCTGGATTAACATTTACAATTTGATACTTCACGCTCTAAGATTTTGGAAAAATATTTATAAGGAAATCGCGATTGTAAACTAACTAAAATTTAAGAATTAAAACTTTCAGGATATCCAAATATCTTCATCCTTAATTTATTGAAGCTGATAATGCATTTCATACGCAAAATTCACATAATGAAAGAATAATTGGTCCCCTTATTTGATCAGTGTCAGTAGTCTTTACAAACTCATTGCTTCTAGAATAATTGGTTCCCTTATTTGATCAGTGTCAGTAGACTGTTGACAAACACGTTGCTTCTTCTACAATTATCGGCCTTCGTAGTTACATCAGTGTCTGCAGAAAAATGTCATATACCATGGTTCTTATAGAATAATTGGCATTCAAAGTTAGCCAGTGCCCGTATACTCTCAATTTATTTCCACTAATTAAACAGACTAAACAAAAGATATGAGTTCACACTATATGGCACCCCACAATCACTGTTCTACCGGTTTGATAAATGTTTGTCGTGTCGTACGCAGATCGCTCCATTTTTGTTCAATGGTCATATTGATAGGTGCCACGCTCATGTATGAATTGATGTTAATTGAGATCAGATCCACTATATTGTAATTTTACTTAGGACGGTTGTGGTATTATTTTTTAGTGCAATTTGTTTGATCTTGTCTGCATCTTCTTTAAGATGCACCCTCGGAATTTCGTCTGAATATAATTTTCGCTGATACGTTCATATCATAATGAAGGGGGCTTATTGCTATTCTTGAAGTTGTTAATTCTATTGAAACGCATAATTGTGCATACTCTCATCTGACGAGTATTCGCATCAAAAAGGGCATGAAAAAAAAATTCTTAGATTTAAATAGTTGTCTTAGGTACCAAAAATTTTCTCGATTTCGAAAACATTCTTCAATTCTGTTGATTCAGTGTTATTTCCCATACTTTCATTTTTCGCTTTTTCATCGTAAGTAATTCGCCGTCATGATTCCTCTGATTTTCGTGGTGAACGAAACAGTACCAGCTCGCTTACCTTGAATCCCAACTTAAATAAGTTTCATCTTCGTTTCCTCCTTTGAATTAATAACAATACAAGATTTCTGTGATTTTTATTCCCAAATTTCGATTAGTGCGAGAGGTGACACTTACCAAATCTTAATTAAACCAATTATTAGCTAGCACACTTGATTCGATGCGTCTATTTTCTAATTGAGTGAGATAGACTCGGTAGTTTATTCGCCACCTACTCTTCACTTGCGATACTGGCAGATGTAGTTGAAGATGCTGCCACCAATAGTGTCACTGGGCAAGTAGTTGTTGTCCTTCTGCAGTCGCGCGTAAGGCTCACTCAGGATGTTTCCGATTTTAGGTGATACGATCTCTATTCCGTCGGGCCAGTAGAACTTCATGTCGCTGAGTTGCAGTGTCGCGTCGACCCACCAGTTGTCCACACCGGCCTTGTCTGTGGGAAAAAAATACCATTCGTTACATTGCCATTTGACCGATGTGAAGCTATTACCTACAATAACACCTACCGCCATTTTGTCTTGAACGAGGGAAACTCAATCCGATTTTGCGGGTATCGCACGCCTGACCAAGAAATGACTTCAGCAACCTGCCTGTTCGATGAGAGAGCTGCAAAAACAATCAATTATTTAATTGATAAATTTTATTGTTGGTTAGTTCCCGTGAGTAATGAGCGAGTTTTTTTAGTCATTACTTGAAACTGCCATTTTCAATATTGAGACTTGGCAGCTATCTTGTATGGAGGTTACGTCGCCGTTGATTTACTGATGAACTATGATCGCCACTTGAATCATTCAGCTACTGGACAATTTCTTGCATTATTCTGCTTCAACAGCGTTGAGCCATTTACAGTAACTTTCCTATCTCTCCCAGCAATGTGCGTGCGTAATTTTTCGACCTTTCATTTGAAAGTATGCGTTTTGTGAAAAACGTGTTTTTTTAATGTACGTTTTATAATGTGGTAGTAATAACTGCAATGGTACATATGGGACCATCTTTAACTAATATTCATTGCATAAATTCATGTAAAACATCTTGAATAATGAACTGATATAATTAGTTAATCTACATCAATTCGTCGCAAATCCATTTGATAATTCATATATCCTCTAGAATGAAAATTCAATTAGAAACTTGGAAATACCATCTGTCCCAGTCAACCCTCGCTAGTGACTCTCGGTCCTTATCTGCCTGAAACCGAATAAGCTGGACTAGCCAGCATTGTTGGTCATTTGTCGATATTTATGAAATTAAGCTTAAGGTTTTACGTTTACGTTCTTTCTACATTTCTTCAAAAATACACGAGGTTCGAGTTAACTTTTAGTTATACTGTATTTCCCTTTTTTTATTATGCCATGCTGTAGTGTGAACTACTCCGACAGTGTGGCAAATCAAATACTCCAAATTCTATTCCTCCCAAATAGTTAACTATCGATCTCCTTCACACGGCGATACGTCACTATGCCTCTTTCGTTGCCATCGATGCTCTCTATCCTGGCCAACTTGGTCGAACGATCATGCATCGCAGTGATGCTGATGTACTCGGTTACTCAGCCTGAACTTGGTTGTTAGCTGACGCTAAGTTGACAGTAGCCGTACTTTCACATCTGACAATCAACGTTGTTTATACGCAATCTTGTTGTAATCAGCGTACTTTAAACGTCGTCATTTGCTTTGGGTTGTCTCAGTTACACGGTACATGTACGCACTACGCCGCCGTCTCTTTTTAGATGAGATTTCATCACCATGTCCGCCGCCCCGTCTCGTTACTACCCAAGATATCTCTCAGTCATCACAGGACGAAACAGATCACACGGAGGCTACGCGGTAGTTATGCGTATTTATTTGATAGTCTTTGATTAGCAGCCGTGTATTTCATGTAGCTGACGATTGTTTTACGTAATTTCTCACGACTACTTTGTGGCGAAGGCGCTCTCCTTACCGTATACGGAGCTTGAAGATGTGCCCCCAATTCGGCTCGTTCACAACAAGCAGTAGCGAAAATATCGGTGGCCATTTATACACACACATACACACCTAAAGTTTCCAATGGCCACCAAGTTTTCACACTCCTAAAGTTTTTGTCTATAGCTTATCATTTCAAATCTCCAACAGTCATAGGTAGTTGTGTAGTACTCATTTTCTTCATTTTAAGTATGACCTACTCTCGTGTCAGCGAGCTCTTTCTTGCGGCAACAAAACTTCAATAAGCTTCACAATATCCTTTGTGTGAAGGTAACACCTTATCCTTCACAATCATAGTGTTACCTTCTGAACAATGACAACTTCAAAGTTCTAGCTTCACTGGTGATTTAAACTTAAATTAATGCATTTATACTGAAAATGCGGTTTTAGTATGGTCCAGTGACGTTTAATCCTGTGTTATTAGTGCTGCCAAAAATGTGTGGCGCTATCTTCGACTAGGTTGTACCTAAGCTGAATTAAAGCATTTCATGTATTCGTATATTAATTATTATATTGGTTATATTTAATTGAAGTTACACATCTCGTCACACGCCAAGTTTCCGTGTTTAGTTAGCTTTCGAGTTATGGGACCATTTCGTTCAAAAATAAAAAATTATGTTTTTTCCGGTTTTTAGTATCATTTTAAAGGTCCAAAAATTGCGAATCCAAGCATACCAAAGCCGTGTTTGTAAGTTTATTTGTCCGTTTACGTCGGCCATTAAAGCGCATGTAAAACCTACACCTTCAAATATCACCAATTGCAATTTTTCTGCTCTCCTGAACACTTGGAATTTTCATCTTGAAAATCTATCCCCACCTATGATTTTCAAACAACAGCAATGAGCGATATACCATTCGATTCGTAAATTAAATCTCTACAATCCATCCGATCATTTTTTTATTTAGATATAGTTTGGATTATATATTGGAAAAAATGGAGGAGAGGCGTAAATTCTAAAATTTCGGAAAATACCCCTTCCCACCCGAACAAATTAGAAATTGGAAAAAATGACTGGATGGCTTACTTCTTGATTTGGTCTTTACACATCGAGTGACATGTCTCTCGATGTTGTAGCACGTTTATTGAATGAGGAGGGGGCAATGAATTAACATTGCCACATTTTTCGCCGTTTTCTCTGTAAATTTCACGTTTATTTTCATTTCTTCGCAAAAATTGTACACACAAAAAGGTCTTAGATTTTTGTTTTACATATGTCTGCGAAGTTTCAAAACGATTAGTCCATAAATAAAAAGTTTTTTTTTTGACCGAAACGGTTCCCCGTAATAGAGTAAAAGCGTAGCCGTTGGATACAAATTTAACCATTAAAGTGAACCTACCAGTTTTTCATTCGAAATTTAGTTCTAAAACGCTTATCTGGTGCGTGAATTAACCACGCTAGGTGGAGAAATAAGATTCAAAATAAAGTTTGAATGAATTATTCATCTATGCGGTTAATTCTTAATACCGGCGATCATGATTGCTACTGGAATGAATTAGGGTTCTGAAAATTTGGCTCACATTTCTTGATGTAGTCCAAAAGATCGTTCATCTGAGTAGCAGAGGACGGGAAGGCGAGCACGCTGCCCGTCGGGCACGAGCTTTTCGCCTCATCGAAGTTGGCAGTCACGGTAGAGAAGAAGTAGCAGAAGCCGCCCACCTCTTCGAAGCCAGGCTTGCACACTGACGGGTGTAGTACGATAAACAATTGTATATGATGTAACCGTATATTGCATTAAAAATGTCACACATTGGCATTTAACTGCAAACTAAACGTAATCAGGCGTTGTACTTGGGTCACTCCTGAGATACCGCTCCGGCACTTATACTAATGACAAATTTTGGGACAGATTTTTATGACTCTCACGCAGCACTCTTTCCTCGCATAACGTTGATTAATTGTGACCGATCGTAACCATATTAGCTACAAAGCTATTCATTCACAATACGATCCTGCGAACGTGGCAAGATTTTTTTCTTGTCGGCTTTGTTTGAGCGTATTACCAAAATGTTTTTCCCTCTTGCCAAGCTTTTCTTTGAAAAATCTAAGTGGAACGAAGAAGACAGAAAATATTCCATCAATATTCGTAGGAGTGTATTGTGAATTAATACTTTAATTGTTAATTACGTCAAGATCTGTCGTTATTTAAGAAAGTTATTAATGGGAAGGGTGTAGAATGAGCGCTATAAAAATTCGTTGCAAAAATGTGTCCCAAAAGTTTTGGAGTAGTTACTGAGAGTACCCATGTTGGAACTATCTTCAGTGACTGCAGATAATGTAGTGTGTGACTGAAACTAAACTCTTTGTAAACTGCAAAACGCTTGCCACGACCGAAGGCGTAATTGCCGGAAAATCAAAACCACAAACATGTTCAAGCTTTGCAATTGAATGGTAAATGGAGTTTGTTACCTCGAATTTGTTTTTAGGGGTCATCGTATCGTGATGAGTGAACCTCTTCCCTCCATAGAGAAGTTATATGTAACCGTTAGTTTACTTAATTCATCGCGCGAAATACTTTTTCATGCATTTTGTTTTGAAGATGAGTGGCCTGGAGACAAAATGTGATAAGACTCTTGTATACCTTTGTTCTTCATGAAGGTGATGAAGGCCGGGGCTGTTATGAGGAGGCTGGTGAGCACCGAGGCGTTGCTGCTGAAGTGACACTTGGACACGGAGGCCGCCTGAGTGATGGACACCGCCAGGCACCGCGTGTCCACGAAGCACCGATTCCGGCACACGCCTAAGGCAGCAAGCACAAACAGCTGGATCACAGGATGTTTTTTTTTGTATAAAAAACGGAAAACAACATTTCGACGATATTTTAGCGATGCTAGAAGTTGAACACGTATCGGCCAAAATTTTTCACCGCCAAACACATTTTTTTCATACCTAACATAACAATCTCTTTTGCTGGGAGATTGCAGGGCCAAGTTTCAAAAAATAATCGTTCCATGGCGTACAAAAATACTCTTTGGATTTAGGTTCATCTGCTACCTTAAACATTACATCATCAAAAATATAATATATTCGATCTATTGTGGGAAAGAAAGGAAAAGAAATTCACTGAGTTATACCAAGATTATTGGATTACACATTTCAAACATCCTATTTATGTAATCAAAATATAAAAAATGGTAATCAAGACAGTTTTAAAAGAAATCTTACCTAATTGCTACGATATTTATTTTAGAAATGCTTTTTCCCTCTTGGTTTGCGACGGTGAGAAGATTCTTCCTTCTTTCGTAGCAACCAACAATAGTCTCCCATCATATTGGGATTAAAGCGACCTTGATACAGACTCTCCAAAAGCGCAATATCTTGGTGAAAACGCTCACCATGCTCATCACTTATATCCCCAAGGTTTTCAGGGAAAAAATCCAAGTGGGGAAAGAGCATTTCCCAAGTGGGAAAAAGCAAGGGAAAAATCCAAATCATTGGAACAGCAAATGGCATATATACTCTTTCTTTTTGAGCTTAACCATTGTGTTAAACTGACACAGCAGTTAGAACAGCAGATATGAGGTTCCTATTTTTTATCCTGGTCGTCCCTAACTTGACAGCCAAAATAGTGCCTGTATGCTATCTTAACCTTGGAGGCCAGATTTTTTCTCTGATCTTTTGGGGTGAATTAGCCCCAAATGTAACAGAAATTATCAGGGTTGTTGTAACAATTTCGACTATTCATTTAAACAATTACTGCTTAATTGAAATTAAAACAAAATCTAATTAGTGCTTACTTCACATTAATTAATATCCTAGATTTATCACGACCAAACTTTTCTGGAATGAAATTGTGAAAAAGTTTCAGAAAATTCAATAGCAATGGTTCAACACTAAAAAATATAATCTCACCATTATTATACAATAAAAGTGCATTTGGAACCACCAATGCACAACACACTTTTACCAGGCATTCCTTACTTTGAATGTACTTTCACTTTTGGAGGCTGACCCTGAAGTTATATGCATTAAATACTTTCACAAACATAACTCGAAAACATGACGTGCTAGAGAAATTTCAAGGGCATGCATGTAATCAGCGTAAAAACACATCAGATACAGCCTAGGTAATTTCATACGAGTAGCAAAAATTTTGTTGCACAGTGTAATGCGTGCACAAAATCACCTCGCGTCGGCGTCTTGCAACATTTCGCAGTAAGCCACCGGGTATCAATACAAGTAAAAATATATAACTAAGCTAACAAGCTAGAAGAAATTACAAATTTTCCATCCTAATGAAGAGAAAATTGCTCCAAAACAGTTGTTAAGGAGGGGGATAAACTTGTCAGCAGACTATAGTGCTCTATATTACTATATATATCACGATTCACAGACAGCTCAATTTCGTAGCTCCCGTCAGTAATGAAATAATAACTGCTCAAAGGAATATTTACTTTATAAGTTATGGATGTAGAAGCCGATATGATTTTTTCGTGCAAATTTATAAAGGCAGTTTTTTGGTTACTCACATGCGCTCGGTGCCTCCAACGAAGACGTGGTCCAAGCCTGTGCGATCGTTGCGTCGGTGAAGAGCGTCATTGGGCTCCCCTGAACTGCGCTGAAACTGCTCGCCAAACTGGCCAAGCAGAACACGCCGGAGAAGAACATGCTGCGTGTTCTGATATAAGTACACGATTTTTTATTACATCATTTTACTTTCCACCTATTGTTAAATTTTAGGTTCCAGGAGTTAATTTCTTAATTTATTTTGCCCCTTATGTGTCTTTGTCATGGACAAATAAATTATAGTCAGTTTTTATCCACTTGGGTAAGTTCAAATAACCTTGTTGGAGGAAACGTATATTACGTGTTCTAGTTAGAAATAATGTACTGAATATTCAAACTTCATTCTTGATGTTGGCGTGTTTATGTTCAAAATACAGTATTTTACATAGCTTGTCTACCCAATGTGCAATTCTATTCTATAAGCAATTTTTTACAATTGTATACGATTGTTTTGCAGAAACAGATTTCAATTAGAAATTAATGAAAAGTCGCGTATCCAAAATTTTTCCAAAAAGTTCAATCGCAATTAAATGTGNAGAAATTACGGAAAAGTCGCGTATCCAAAAATCTTCTATGTAAATTGCAAACAAATCGAGCATTTTTTTCTGCAAAAATTCTATCCAGTAATTAAAATGGATAAAAACTGCTTTCTATTCCATAAGTTAACCATCCAATCGCAAATAAGTAATTAATTAAGCGCGATTGGATAATTAATTAATAATTAAGGTTTTGTTTCGATCGTTATTTTGTCAAGTTTCACTCGCCGGCTTTGGTCAAGTCTGCACTTCTGACTCCTGACACCAACTGACTCGTCTCGACCATTGGCCTGGAGTTTAGTTCCACTCTTATGAGTAATCGATAGGGCAGATATTGTTTCAAATTCATTATTCCAATCAGCTGCAATCGGACGCTTGAATATGGATAATGAAAAATTACACTTCGTTCTGAAGGCACTAACGGAATATTATAGCAATAAAACGATATTTCACGTTAATGGTGGATAGAAGATTTATATTGCAACGGGCATTCCCAGAGAAAATTATTCGTAATGAAAGTATGAAATCATAGATTTTTAGTTTATCGTTCATCGGCATTTGTATTCTATGAAATATTTTTTTTTCAATTAGTCCTAAAAATAAATTAATACAAGTCTGTTCATATTATAGCGATTTATAATGGTCGTTTCAACTTATAACTCAATTTACTTCTTCCATTATACGTCTAACATTACAATGACTTATCGAAGGAAATTACAGATAACAATACTTACTCAAATTATATCTAACTGTTATTAGAATGTGTAGACAGCGCTTAGCGCTGTCTAGCGTAGCGTAAGACTACAGCGCTTCAACCCATGCAACATCGGTCCCCATGCACTTCTGACATGGAACTTTTCCATTCAACCTTTTTGTCAGACCCCATTCAACCTTGGAACTTTTCCATTCATGACTTTTCCATTCAACCCATGCAACTATAAAATATGGTTCCATTAATTCTTTATTACATGTATAACAAATGCATACAATGGTGACTTGATTTTATTTTTCTCTCGCATTGAACGTAACTTTTATGTTAAATGGCTCCCACTTTTTGTTCACTTTTCGCTCCGCGGAATTTATTTTTTAATGACAGCCATTCATGATTAAATTTACTGACGATTTTCGTACAATGGCAGCAATTTTTCATTCATTTATTTTCTAACGATCTATTTAGTGGATCAATACAGTAATAAATAGAGAACTAATTTTCGCTAATCGCTTCAATTTTTGTTCATGTGGCGAGTTATTATCAACTTAATAATAAATTCGAGTAGTTTTGACTAACGTGTTAAGAGCCTTTGCAGAAGCGCGATAATTCTAAGCGCGAGTGGAGGTCAACATCTGAATAATTACACTCGCTCGATACGCCAATAAGATACGGGATTTGTAATTAGCTACCAGCACGGAAAATTTTACGCGAATTGTTTACGAAAACTCGATCATTATTTCTCGAAGGTAATTTTTTGCGTGTATCGTTACAATGACAAGCTGCAAGTTATAGTGCATGATATGGTCATTTTCGTAATGTTCTACAGCGGCGAGTAATGCGCATTTCAACTTGCCGTGCGCTCCTCATTTATATATAAAAATGTTAAGTAAAAAGTTTTATTTGTAGTTCAAAATAACCGTAGAGAATAACTTTCTGGACCGACACTCTTCCGGACCCAACCGCAAATCGCCAGCGGACTCAAACGTAAAAAGTATTTTTTTT